GTGTCTCACCCCCGTGCCTCGGAAAGCACGTAAAGCCGTTGGTCCTGCGCCTGATCTCTCTCCGGTTGTGTCGGTTTACCGTCCCATCGGACTATGAGAGTGAGGGAATAGGGAGTGCACCTGTGCTTGCGCATACACTCGGGCACTATAATCCTGTCCTGCGCCGATGGCTGGTCTCCGTAGAGACTGGCCGCCGTGACCGAAATTCGGTCAGGAGGACATTATTATTATTGTTAAATGTTTATATAAAAAAAATTAATTAATTAAATAATTTTTTTAACTACAATTCTACCAATTCCGTTACAACGTATATTAAATTAATAATTTATTGACGTCACACAGCTGTATTCTTTAATTTTATGAAAGGGAAACTGATGAGAAGACGCCACTTCACATAAAGTTGAATTGTTATTATTTTGTAGTCATGCATGTTTCCTCAAGTCTTTAATTCCGACTATGAGGAGAGGATACCATGGATTGAACTCTGATCATTCGCAAAGACAGATTTTTCAGAACCTAACAAACACCAGAATAAACACCGCGGCTCAGCTTAGTTTTAATTAATAATTATTTTGAGACAAGATAAGAACTTAACATAAAAACAAATCAAACTTCGTGTTAATAAATGCGAGATAAACGTCTCAAACATCCGGACTTTATTTGCTTGTTTGCATTTTAATCACACCACTGTTCATTTATGCCCGCCCGGTGAAGTGGTATGATTAACAAATAATAGTTTTTGTCTCACAGCGATAAGTAACAGGTGTGCTCGCTTGTTTTGTTGGCGTCTGTTTGGCCTGTGATATGGAATTAAAAAGATAATAAAAGGTGTATCACAGATTAAATACCTTGTTTTTGAGATGTGTTTGTTTTAGTCTGTGGTAGATGTGGCTTATAGTTGGATTGGGTGTTTGTTTTAAAATGTAAATATGATTGTTGTTTAATTTTGTTATCATGAAGTGTTTTCTTATTTTAATATCAGTTTTTTTTGTGTAGAATTCTTTTGAGATCAAATAGTTTATTAAAAATTTAGTTCTGCTATTTACTTTATAACACACGATATGTTTAGAAGTTAAACAAAATGTAGATAATTATATATTGTTTTAAAAGATATTTTTGTTTAAGGAGATGGGCAACAGTGTCGTTCTTATCATCATCATCATTATAGCCCTTCAATAGTCCCCTGCTGAATATAGGTCTTCCCCGAAGAATATCACAAAGCATGGTCCTGAGCCACTTGCATCCTCTAATCTTTCTAATCACAACTAGAAAATAAAAACTTGCCAAATATCCTTCTTATGAGATGATATATATACCTAACTATTGGCAGTACACTTTGATAGGATGTTGTGAATGACTTTTATGAAATCATAATTTGTTGCCTGTTAATGTCTTACTCCAAGACAAATTTTGCCTATACTGGGCTGTGAAGATAACCATCGTAAGAAATCTGCATTTTTGAGAAATTAAAGTTAAAATTAACTAAAATTTTATGGAGTTTCAATTCCCGATGTTTCGAGAACTTAACAGCACAAGACAAAGGTCCCTTCCAGATTTAATGTATCTGATGACCTGACGGACTGACTATAGATAACCGGTCACTCTTTAGTTTTTAGAGCTATTGGAGCTTTGAGCTATTGAGGATTATCCCTTAACATTAAGTCTAATTTAAGATGAGCTATAAATGTCACCAATTTTTGTCAAAGATAATTCTATAGAAATTAAAAAAATATATCATTATTTTTGATAGAGACGACAGCTGGGCTAGTGCCCAGTTGTAGTCCACCGGTGTGGGGTTCTGTGATTATCATTACAGTCTATCTAGGATATATTATAAAGGATATTTTGTCATCATTGCCATAGTTGGCAAGCGAGTTGGATACCGCACTTTTTATATCCCAGCTGGTTTCCCTCTGTCGCCAATTACTACACTCACGTGGCGATATGGGGATATTCTTACACCGTCACTACACGGTCAATACCGCCGTAACACGGCCAATAAAATTAAATCCGAAGACGTGTGCATACTACTGCAAATATTCAAAATACTGTTAGCTTTCTTTGCCTAGATAAGAACAATAATTAATAATAACTTAAGCTGTGGGTAGCCGGGGTTAATTATGACAATTGTACGCCAAACACTTCCGACTTTCACCTGAGCATGGGTATTGCTAATCGCTCGAAACGGTGGGAATTCAAAATAGTTAAAATGTAAAGGTTACAAAATCGGTAGGGTGACTTGTTTTATTCATTATCGACGCGCCTCGGCTTCGCCTTGGTAGGATATATTTACGTGGCATCATTTTGATTTTTAAAATAATTATCAATTACTATTTATTTTATCAATTTTTCCATTTCACACAAAGTTCGCTCATCACTCATGGCATTACTCTCTTACAATCGGTTCAGCCATTCTAAAAATTAGCCCAGACGGACAGATAACATTTTTATTTATATTTAGCCCTGAGCTCTATAACAGACAGTTTTTTGATCTTACCAATTACCAACTGACACTTTTTAAATGTGTAGATTTAAATTAAAAAACTTCATAAGCAAGCATTTCCATTTGAGTAATAATACAACCGAGAATCATAAACTGATAAACATTAATCATAAACATTAATTAATTTTAAGAAATAGATAATATAGATGATACGTGGTAGAGCCACGCTGCAGCTGTACGCTCCACGCCCTCACAGAATACTATCGTAAAATAGCAGCTTAATGCTGATATGTTTCGTATTGTGAGTGTACTGAAGACCCGTTTTACTGGAAATGACGCATTTTATGTTAGTCCTCAGGGGTGACAACGCATTTTGATTCTGCATTTTGATTCCTAACAGAGGATAAACGTAGATGTCTATGAGCCTCAGTATCCTCTTACGATTAGGTGAACTGTGTGCCCGTTTGTCACCCTTATTCTATATAAAAAAGATAGATTGCCGCATCCGTGCCGTTTACCATAGCACCAGTTGGCAGGCGCTTGATAGGCGCGTTAGCAACTGCAGCTTTTTTATTATTATTTGGGTTGTTATCAGAAAGATGCTGCTCATGTTTCAGTTTCTTTCTGTCGTCTTTACTACAACCATAGGATAATATAAGGCAGTGGCAGTCTCCTACACAGCCACTATTCGGCAAATATTTTATACAATTAAAAGTAAAAGGCACTTTAAAAACATTTTTTTATAGGATAAAGGTGAAAAACGAGCACACAGTCCACCTGATGGTAAGTGGTTGATGCGGCCCATAGACATCTACATCTATCCTCTATTACAAATCAAAATACAGATGCGTTGTCACACGTGAGGAGTAAGATGAAATGCCTCATTTCCAGTAAAAAGCGTCTCCGGTTTTCTACACTCACCATACGAAACAGCAGCGTTAAGCTGCTATTTTACGCCGGTATTCTGTGAGAGCGTGGTCCTTCCCCGATTGAGCCGACCCTTTCGTGCTACAACTATACTACTTATATAGCTGTAGCATGGCTCTACCAAGTAAAAAATAATATTTTAGTAAGAATAAATTAATAGTAGTGTTTAAACTTTTAAATTCTTATATATTAAATAGTCACAGTAAATTTCAAAAGAAACCTGCAAAAAGTAGCTTCGTTACCGATTTTTAATGCTCTTGATTCGATTCAATTAACTTTAATTAGTCGAATAAATATATTTTTTGAAATTCAATTAATTTAATATTTAAATATTAATTTCCTTGAGTTCGTATTTGATATTTTATATTATAGGTCCATCCATTGAAAGTCCACATACATATAGGATCTATTACATAAATTTCTATTCGATATGCCAGTGCGAGTAGTACTTATTGAAAGTCATTTAAGCTTTTATCACTAATGACGGAACAAAACCTCTGTTCTGAGAAGAACCAGCAAAAAATCCCGCGAGACTTTTTTTTTAATATTTAGTTGTGCAGTTACACGTAAACACATTTAGAAAAAACATGGTAGCGATCAACTCATTCACAGGGGTTATTATTATTAATTACATATTCTTTAATATTATAATACACATTTTATACAGCTTTTGTTTAGTAAAGATTTGAAAGAATTTGATATAAGAAATAAAATGTTGTAGATTAATAGCGATTATAAGTTACATGTCAATAATAATTACATTGTGAGATAGATAATTATTTTCTTCCCGATTTCGAAAAATACTTAATATTTAAATAAATATTGATAATAACTTAAAAGAAATTCATTGCATGATATTCTGTAACTGAAGTAGATTATATACAGGGTTATTTTTCAAAAAGTAGCTAAATTTTAAACTTCAGTTCAAATATATAAATAATGATATACCGTTATTGCAGTTATTGAAAATACGAGTAAAGAAGGCCTCTACTTTTATTTGAAATTATCCCAAATTGAATGTGATTTATGGGCAACAACGTATTGTTTACGTTAGTGTTCTAATTCAGTTCATTCACCATGAATGATTAATGAACTGAAGAAGTGAAATAATAAAACCGTAAAAATGTTGTTTTATTTTGATCATTACTTACAAATTACATTATAAATCAATGTTTTCTGTTGTTTAAATAATGTTTATGGTTCAAAGTATACAGAAATTGCATTTTTCCAACAAATAAAGTTTTTCGAATGATCCCATTAACAAAAAAACTTACAACTTTGACAGATCCCCATCTTTATTTTTGAAGATACAAAAGAATTAAAATAAAATTTGTACTCCACTCAAAGGTAACTAGAGTAAGAAAACATTTTGCGGTTCTCTTTTTCATGTATGGGACCCCTTGAATTAATTGAATTTCTAATTTAATATTCAGTTTTGGCTCAAAATTATACATCAAAAAATATGAAAAAAAAAAATAACAATAGGTTATTAAAAAATCCAAATAGTACTGTACATACCCTTAATATTTTCTGGTAATTAAAATTTTGTGGTGTATACAAGGTAAGATAAAGTCTTTGGGGGAGCAGTGGACATGCGATGGGCTGTGAATAATTCATAACAATAGTTTACCTTAATCTCTTTGCTTCGTCAATAAATGGCCGCTTCTCCATTTCGGTGAGAAGCTTCCACTCCGCGCCAAGCCTCTTTGATATCTCCGAGTTGTGCATCTTTGGGTTGTCTTGAGCCATTTTTCTCCTCTGACCTCTGGACCACACCATAAAAGCGTTCATTGGCCTCTTGATATGTTCAGCTGGCTGTTTTCCAAGAGACATTTTTCACGATTTTTTCTTTATATTTTTTATTTTAATTTTTAGTGTAAACACTGCTTTTGTTCGTACATTATTTTTTATATATTTTTTGATGTTGTTACTTATGTTTAAGTTACATAAATTTATATAACGCTGCTGTATTATTTATTAAATAATTATTTTATAACGTTTACTTTGACTGCATTCAACAATAATAACAAAAGGTATCGTGATTGGAAACTGCGCGCCCGTGAAAAGCTCCCGAAAGCTCGATGCGCCGCTTTTCTCGCCTGTGTCACAGTTTGTGTCGGAGCCTTGGCTCTAAGTTCTCCCCTGTCTCGATCCCCCCTTAAATTAAATTGGCCAATCGTCGGGCGCGGAGGGCGGACGCTGATCCCCCATTGGTTTAAGTCAGGTCTGTCTCACGGCTCCGCAACAGGTGCCCCGGCTTCTTGTTAGCATGTTTATTAGCGAGATTAAATTCCTTTTTTGTACCGCAACCTTCGCTTAGTGAAAAAGAACGCGCCCCCGCGTAATTGGATGGCAACAATTTGAAATGTATGTGGCGTCGAGAGTAGGTTCCGCGCGAAAACCAGAGTCATGCATATGTATGTATTTATGAGTAAAGAGAGGTAGAGTCGAACACGTATTTGATTGACAATGAGTTCGAGATATGGCAATTTTAATTTTGAAACATTTCGCTTTAAAAATGCTGAAATTGAAGAAAAACAACTTTACGTAATGATATTTTGAAATAACAAGTTACTTGATATTAATTAAATAATATTATTTAATATTATTTATTAATTAAATAATAGGTAATTGTTATTTTGTAGAATTCAATAAAAGAAAAAGTGTGTTCTTAACAAACAATACAAACATTCCTTTTATATTTGTTTTTTAAGGGATTTATAAAGTAACTGGAAATGGCTTGAAGTAGGTAGAATATATTTTTAATAATTCTATAAAGGATAAAAGTCGAAGAATAACATTGAAAAAAATCCGTCTTGAAACTCAGGAGCAGTTTTTTTTTTAATTTTTTCCACATATTTTTGTGTAGGATAAATAGAAATATATTTTCTCTTGTTTTCTTAAAATATTAAATTTCCATTTTGTTAATAGATCTATAAATAAATCATAATATTTTTGTTTTTAATTTTAACGTCCTTAAACCCTTTTTGTTTCTCTTACTAAGCAGTAGTTTTTTGTGGCGTTTGATACAAATTCCCTTTATAAAATAGCAATTTATTTATTAATCTGAAATTTGCCATTGATTTAGTTTATTATTTAATTATAATTTAAAATTAAAACTCAATACAATTTGCAATGTGGTCTCTTCTTGGACTCTTCTTGGACTTCTTCTGTGGACTTCGAATAAGCTCTAAACAACGGAGCTGCGTATTCCCACAGTATGACTCGGGGAGGTATTGCTTTATTACGCTAAACAATCGTTTTACAATATACTTAGGATGAATATAATATTGCAATTACCAAGTAAAGATTATACATAAGCTTATAGAAAGTTATATTGTAACAATACCTTGCTCTCTAGGAGTTTGTCTGGGTTGGAACTACTCTCTATTTTATTTCTACTGATAATAGTAATAGTACTGTGCTAAAATCCGTAGGGAGAGAGCCACTATCATTATAGGCCTTGAAACTTTTAGGCTTAGTTCTCAAGGATGACATTGTATCGGTGATGTTCTTTGTTCGATTTTGTTTCCAGTTGTTCAGTAGTCACTTTTAGGCGTAGTAATATATAATAAGTAATATATAGTCACTCTATTATTATTTAAAATATATTACAATACTAACATTAAAAAATAATAAATAAGAATTAAGGACTAATTATACAGAAGACAGAAGAGTATAATCTGCCACTTTGCCTTGCGTGTGTGTACTATGAGAAAGCCTTTGATTCCGTCGAAATTTGGGCTTCCATTCAGCGATGCCAAGTTGACTGCCGGTATATCGAAGTGCCGAAGTGTTTGTACAGTAGAGCTACGATTGCTATCCGAGTACAGAATCAGAGTATGAAACCTAACCAACTTAAGAGAGGTGTAAGACAGAGTGACGTCATACCCCCGAAACTCTTCACCGCTGCATTGGAAGACGTTTTCAAGCTGCTGGACTGGAAAGGATGCGGTATTGACATCAATGGTGAGTACAACACTCATCTTCGATTTGCCGACGATATAGTCCTTATGGCAGAACCGCTGGAGGCCCTTAGCACTATGCTCAATAACCTCAATAGTGTCTCCTAACGGATAGGTCTTAAGATGAACATGGACAAAACAATAATCATGTTTAATGTCCACGTCACACATATGCCGGTAGTTGTTGGGAGCACTAAGCTCGAAGTTGTTGACAAGTATGTTTACCTGGGACAAATAGTCCGACTAGGTAAGTCCAACTTCGACCGAGAGGTCAATCGACGGATTCAACTCGGTTGGGCAGCGTTCGCGAAATTACGGCACATCTTCTCGTTAGACATACCTCAAAATCTTAAAACGAAATTGTACAACTAGTACGTGTGGCCAGTGATGACTTACGGATCTGAGACGTGGTCCTTCACTGCTGGTCGTATGAGGAAGCTCAAGGTCGCTCAGTGAGCTATGGAGAGGGCTATGCTCGGGGTTTCTCTGCGTGATAAACTTAGAAATGAGGATATCTGCAGTAGAACCAGAGTAACCGACATAGCCCAACGGATTAGTAAGCTGAAGTGGCAGTGGGCCGGCCATATAGTTCGAAGAACCGACAACCGATGGGGAAGAAAGATTCTTGAGTGGCAGCCTCGTACCGGTAGGCGAAGTGTAGGGCGACCCCCCACGAGATGGAGTGACGACCTGGTAAGACATGCAGGAAGACGATGGATGTAGGTGGCTCAGGACCGTGCTTTTTGGTATTATCTTGGGGGAAGCCCAGCAGTGGACTTGTGAAAGGCTGATGATGATGATGATGAAGGACTAATTTACACTTTTCAATCATCTGATAAGAAGCCAAAGATTTTCCTATATTTTCTTCTAAATTACATTAGAAAAATAAAGGTAGCAAACGAGCAAACAGTTCACCTGATGGTAAGTAGATGATGTGGTCCATAGACACTTACATTTATCTTAAAATGCAGATGCGTTGTCACCCCTTGTGATTAAGATGAAATGCATCGTTTCCAGTAAAAAGGATCTCCGGTTCTCTACACTTACTAAACGAAACAGCAGCACTAAGCTGCTAAGACACGCTGGTATTCTTGTGAGAGCGTGGCCCTTCCCCCGTCAAGCCGACCATAAGTGCTACAACCATAATACAGCTGCAGTATGGTTCTACCGTGTATAAAAAGAGAAGTACATACAATACATTGTGTAATTGACTAACTTATTTTATCGACAGGTTAGTCATTAATTAAAAGAAAATATTTTGCATGAGTGAGTCTATATTTATGTTTGTATAAATTATCATATCCTAAATTATGTTGAGAGCCGTGGCAGCTCAGATGGTTGGCGCTCGCGTTAAATTTCACAGTACGCGAGCAGCCCGGGTTCGATTCCCAATGAAATTGTTAGTTGCAATTTTAAGTGCTGATTTACCACGTGCTCGGCGGTGAAGGAAAACATTGTGAGGAAACCTGCATGTCTGAGAAATAAGAAAAAAAAAAAGTATTTCAAAGACATGTAAACTTCGCCAACACGCATTGGGGCAGCGTGGCGGACATTTCCTTGCCCTAAAACCCTCTCAGAAATGAGAGGAGGCCTGTGCCTAGCAGTGGGACGTATATAAGCTGTAACTTTAACTTTTTTTAAATTATGTGTGATTCGAATAGCACTTTACTCTTATTGTCTAGGACCAACCATGAACGAGGAAAAGCTTCAGATTTTTTATTGAAATATTTCAATAATTTTAGTAGAGATTTTTTTTTAGGATAAGGTGACAAACGAGCACACAGTCCACTTGATGGTAAATGGAAGCTGTGGCCCATAGACATCTACATCTATCCTCGTTTGCAAATCAAAATTTAGATGCGTTGTCACCTGTGAGGACTAAGATAGAATGCCTCTTTTTCAGTAAAAAGGGTCTCCGGGTTTCTACACTCACCATACGAAACACAGTAGTGTTAAGCTGCTATTTTACGCTGGTGTTCTGTGAGAGCGTGGTCCTTTCCCGCTCGAGCCGACCCAATCGTGCTAAAACTATACTATTAATATAGCTGCAGCATGGCTCTACCACGTATAAATGTTGTAGCCGTGTAGTGTTGGCCTAAGACAATACATCTCCTCATAATATCGTTCCGAGGCTGTCGTAAGAGGCGACAGAGGGAAACTGAAACTGAGAGGCAGCTATATCGTACAGACGTCTGCTCAAAATAATAGAGAACCGTGTTTTTTAATCCGCCCGCCAAGCATGGCTGTGGCAAATATACTTCCCTCCTATGAAGCAATACATGGGGGAGGCTTATATTCAGCTGTTAACTTTTTATTAGCTAATTTATATGAATGATGTTATATTGCAGTGTGTAAATGCGAAAATACAACAAAGGCAAACAATAGTGGTCTATTTTAGAATTCAAGCAGTTATCTGAGATATCGGTAATTATACTAACACTACTATTTTACTATTTTACCGTATTTACTATAATAGTGATAGGACTTCTCTTCAGTCAGGAGTCCGTGGGTAACTTTTTTATAGGGTAAGGGTGACAAGTGAGCACACAATCCACCTGATGGTTTTATTTATAGGATAAGAGTGACAAACGAGCACACAGTCCACCTGATGGTAAGTGGTTGCTGCGGCCCATAGACATCTACATCTATCCTCTATTACAAATCAAAATGCAGATGCGTTGTCACCCGTGAGGACTAAGATGGAATGCCTCGTTTTCAGTAAAAAGGGCCTCCGGTCACCTGCACTCACCAAGCGAAACGCAGAGGTAAACCTCTACTTCACGCTGGTATTCTGTGAGGTTGTGGTACCACCCCGGTTCGAGCCGGCCCATCCGTGCGACAGCAAAAGCCGCCACGTGGTTCTACCAC